GGCAACCATGCGATAATGCTAGAATGCTAGAAAACTTTCAAAATCATATAATGTCCCGCATGTAAAGCTTCCTTTTTTGCTCTGTAATTGTGTAGATAAATATTCAGATTCAGATTCAGTTTTATTGAGCATTTTCTTTACAAAATTTTTTTACAAAGAAAATTAAAGATAATTTTGCCTTGACTAAACATGTAAACAGAAGCTCATTCAAAATATAACACTTCAATAGACAATTGAGTGACGCCTGTTTTTTTTTTTGTTTTTTTTTTTTTTGAAAAATAGCGTTAGCCTGGGACATGCAGAAGCGACAAGACCAGCACTGTTTTTGCGACGATACAGTACGCATCAACATGCCAGCATTAATTGACACTATGTCTGGCTGTCTGACTGCCGAAAGTTTGACACTAATGTCGTTGATTATTCTTCAGTGTGGCCTAGATGGGTTGTGAATTCATAAAGTTGTTTATAACGTTAACAAAACTTTTCCGAAGGTGATTATCTAGTAAACGACCAACGTGAATGCACGAGCTTCGGCAGAGAGAGAGGCGGCGCATAACTAGCACTTGCCCCCACGCCTACTCTTGAGGCCCCGCGGGCCATGAGGGTGTTGAACGCGTACTGTCCCCTTTCCCAGTAGTGATACAGCACAGCTTTATCCCCTTCCCCCCAAGAAAGAATCCTGAGGACACCCATACACGAGTGGTGCGTTGAGGAAGAGGCGCTGCACAGGGGTGCAACAGCGAAAATAGAATTTGGAGCAATTGTTTGGAGCAAGAAAATGTTACTTTTGGAGCATTAAAATCCAAATATGCAGCAAGTGAGGAAAAAAAAACACGAATATTTTATCACAAGAAACTAAATTTAGAGCGATGTGAAAAAAATATTACATTTAAAAAAAAAAATATGCACAGACCATTCAACATCCCCGAAATTCTGACGAGCGAATATTTGCACCGCTATTTTAATGGAAGTTGCGTTTTGAATCACCCCACTGACCAAACAATGCTAAAGTCCACATTAGCATTGGTGAAGCCTATCAAGTCCTTTGATAAACTGAGGATTGAAATGTGGATCTGCCAAGCTGGGGACCTTGAGATTCTTAAAACTGAGGGGAAGGGGTTGCAAAAGCTTAAATGCTTCAAATAGATTGCCAGTAACATTTTAAGGCGTCAGCGATAACATTACTATTCACAATTATGCGGCGTATACATGCATGAGTAATTTAACTAGCTGTGTTGTGTCCCATGACTAGTGCTAACTGCTACATCCAAATACTCACGGGTGCAACAGCCAAAATAAAATTTTAATTTTAGGAGCAGCATAATGTTACTTTTGAAGCCCCAACATCCAAGTTTGGAGCAGGTTACGAAGAGCAAAACATTCATTTTTTATTACAAAAGACCACATTTGGTGCAGCATGAAACAGAAGCCTTACATTTAAAGAAATATGTGCGCACCATTAAACATGCTTTAAGTCATGCACTGCTATTTGAATAAAATTAGTATTTGGAACCACCTCACTGAGCAAATCATGATAACGTCTGCATTAACATTTGGCACATCGAACTCTGTGAATTCAAATGTGGATCTGCCAAGCTGGTGACTCTGAAATTCAGGGAATTAAAGGGGCACAACTTTTTGGCTTGCTTGCAGGGCATGTTCGTCCAGATAAAGTAACCACGGCGCGTGCTTGTTGGCCCAGCGACGGCACAGGATATCTATTGCCGGGACAACGCAACTTCAAGACAGAAAAAATTTTATATACTATTGATATTGTTATGGTGTCGTGACGTGGCCGAGGACAGGAGACTTTATGTTGGGGTTTAACTGTTTATTTAGGCGAACCCGTGCCCAGTAAACGGAAAGTCCGATTGCAGTAGCAGACTTGCACAGATAGCTGTGAACAAAGCGTCGGCCATCGATCAACTGACAAGCGGCGAAGCGCGTCGGCATTTATACACTTGCCATCGAATGTTCTAGCGTTAACGCTAGCGGTGACGTAGGTTCCAGAATAATCTGTGTAGTTCGCCGAGTGCGCGTGATTATCGAAATAATCTACTACAGTCCTGAAGCTTCTCAAAGACTGCAGGGGCGGTTTGCGTTGAGAATCGAGTAGTGTATTAGGGCGATAACAAAACTTGCGAAAAGGAACGTGGCATTGCCCCACTCTGAAAAAGGCATCGTCCCAATGCTTTAACGGAAGATGAAAGCACAACAATAATGCAAGAAAGTACACAAAATAAGTTTTGATACAGCAATATTACATAAAAAAACACTGTTTCAGTTCGTTATCGCACATGAAGCGGCTTGAGGCGCGCCGCAAGGACGACTTCAGGTCGCGATCGGCGTTGTTGAGAGTTCGTAATACCGTGGGTACAAACTCGTAATAGAGTAAGCTAAGACGTCGAACCACCCTGTACGGTCCGAAGTACTGTCGCAGAAGCTTTTCACTGAGCCCACGTCGGCGTATCGGCGTCCACACCCAAACACGTTCGCCGGGCTGGTATTCCACGAAGCGGCGTCGAGGATTGTAACGGCGACTGTCGGTCGTCTGTTGGTTCTTGATACGGAGGCACGCGAGTTGTCGGGCTTCTTCGGCACGCTGAAGATCTTCACACACATCGAGGTTTTCTTTATCGGTGATGTTGGGTAACATAGCATCGAGCGTCGTTGCCAGGTTCCTTCCGTAGACCAATTTGTATGGAGATATCTGCGTCGTCTCTTGCACTGCCGTGTTGTATGCGAAAGTCACGTACAGAAGAATGACGTCCCACGTCTTGTGTTCAACATCGACGTACATTGCCAACATGTCGGCGATGGTCTTGTTTAGCCGCTCGGTGAGGCCGTTGGTCTGTGGGTGGTACGCTGTCGTCTGGCGGTGGTTTGTCTGGGTGTATGCCAAGATCGCTCGAGTTAGGTCAGCAGTAAATATCGTTCCTCTGTCGGTGATGAGGACCTCCGGGGCACGGTGATGTAGGACGATATTTTCGACGAAACATTTAGCTACTTCAGATGCACAGCCTTCGGGCAAGGCGTAGCGGGCGGTCTCCGCATTGCGGATGAGATAGTCGGTAGCTGCCACGATCCACTTGTTTCTGAAAGTGGACGTCGTAAACGGCCCCAGTAGGTCCATGCCAATCTGCTGGAATGGTCGGCGAGGTGGTTCAATGGGCTGCAGAAATCCCGCTGGCATTGTCGGCGGTGTCTTCCGTCGCTGGCAGTCCCGGCATGCCCTCACATAACGAGTGGCGTTGGCGGTAAGACGTGGCCAGTAGTATCATTCTTGTATCCTCGCGAGCGTGCGGGATACGCCGAGGTGCACTGCCATCGGATCGTCGTGCAGGGCCTGCAGAAGTTCTGGTAGCAGAGCTGAAGGCACCACAAGAAGGCACTTTGGCTCGGAGTGGTGAGAAGTTTTTCTTTTGGAGAAGACCGTTTCGCAAGAAGAACGACGGAAGTGCATGCTTGAATACCTTCGGTACTTCGGCAGTCCTTCCTTCGAGGTATTCTATTGGGGCCCCAAGTTCCAGGTCGGCCCGCTGTCGTTCAGGAAAGGCGTCGGCAGTTAGCGTTCCCAAGAAGTAGTCGTCATCCGGGTCGTCGGGCGGTGGTTGGTCGACAGGCGCACGAGAGAGACAGTCGGAGTGGGAATGTTTCTTGCCGGACTTGTAAACTACGGTAATGTCGTATTGTTGAAGTCTCAGGCTCCATCGTGCGAGGCGACCTGAAGACTCCTTCAAGGTAGCTAGCCAACACAAGGCGTGGTGGTCGCTCACAACTTTGAAAGGCCTGCCATAGATGGAGGGGCGAAATTTTGACGTAGCCCAGATGATGGCACGGCACTCCTTTTTTGTTGTGGGATAATTGACTTCTGCTTTGGATAGCGATCGGCTGGTGTAACTAATAACCCGTTCGAGTCCGTCAGCCCTCTGCATAAGATTGGCGCCGAGACCTACACTGCTTGCGTCAGTGTGTATTTCTGTCTCGGCGAATTCGTCGAAATGCGCAAGTAACGAAGGCGTCTGGAGGTGATGTTTTAACTCCTAGAAAGCGTGTTCCTGCGGCGTTTCCCACTTGAACTCCACGTCAGTTCTGGTAAGGTTAGTGAGTGGATCGGCGATGCGGGCGAAGTTTCTGACTAATTGCCTTTAATAGGAGCACAGGCCCAGAAATTGGCACACTGCCTTCTTGTCAATGGGTGGCGGGAAGTCGGCGATGGTCAAACCGTAGGCTAGGCCTAATCAGCGTTGGTTGCTTTTCGGTGGCGGTCGGGGATGATCGAAGTCACAGTTTTGTATGGAAACAACTTAACTCTGAGGTATGGGCAGTGCTTTTAGCACTGAAATGATTGTTCGCGATTCAAAGCAATGTCTCCGTGCGAGCCCGTGAAATCTCGTTAAGCACACGAAACTTCAGTCAAGGTAATGCACATATTCTACATGGCCTGAAACATATCCGACAAATTTTCGTGATGCCGCTGTCTCTTCATAGTTTTTTCTTTTTGTCTGCTTTTATTTTGTTGGCAATGCGAGTCTTTCAATTGAACTCCTGGAAATTTGAATGATAGTGAACACATCGCATTGCATGCTTTGATTCTTGGACACACGAGCCTGCATGCTCAACACGTTTTGTGCTAGTGTAGACAATGAAAAAGTTTGTTTCGGCTTGAAGGCCCATATTTGTGACATCGGCGACTTACGTTACCAGAGCTTTATGCTGTAGCAAGAAATTAAACTTCCAGAAATTTTACATGCGTAATAGGCGCGCCCTGAACCTGGCACTGAACTTTCAGAAAATAAAGTATGCCTATTAAGCAAGTAAATACGGTGCTTGTGTTTTAGAATGTAATTGCATACCACCTTCTGCACTCTTCCAAATGATGTCACTACTTCATTCATGACTGTTGCAACATTCCTTTTCTGCTTTATGTAGTGTTTCAAATGGAGTAATACTACTTTAATGGTCGGTGAATGATAACAATGAATGGTTCGAGCGCTTACCGGTCCTATTAATGGAAGGTTGAGTAGGCTGCCCAAGATGGGTATTCTACGGAGGAAGTTTATGACAACTGGGAAGAACCCGCTGTAGAAAAAGAGAAAGAACAACACAAAGCTCTTAAACATCAGTTTGAACAACTAGAGTTGCTTAAATGTACTTCTTTCTTGGCTAAGTCAAACTACTATTTCTGGATCGGCACAGTTTCAGCTCAGTAGTGCTTTCTTGTAAAAGTTCTGTTCTTTGCATTTATGATGTGTTGGCTACATGCAGTTGTTACTTAGGAACCCAGACCATTTGGTTCTTCTCACTGACAGCAGCACAGAGGTTTTGATTCCAGCAGCTTTGATACTGACAGGCAGAGTACAAATGTTTCTTGTTACTAGGCTCCCACAGTACATGCTCAGCATAAAGGTTGGTTGTAAACTTTATTGTGATACGTCTTTCTGTCCGCATTTTTTGGTTAGGGAAGGTATCTTGTCACTCTACCCTTGCAGTACAAAAGAGAGAGAGAGAGAAAACTTTATTTGCATAACGCGGAGCATTACAAATAGTTGGGTGCCAATTCCAGAGCTACGCTGGCTCAAGCCATCATCTTTACCCCTTGGACCAGCCAGCAGTGATCAGCAATGGCCGAGCTGGACAACAGGGCCTCCCACTGTTCCTCTGTGTTGTTCATGTTGTGGTGTTCTTTATTGTGATGTGTACACTCCCACGTGATGTGAAACAGTTGATGTGGCCCCACACCACGGACATATATCTCTGTATGCTGTGGGGTAGAATACATGTAGCCTGTGTAAGTTCGTGTATGTGTTTGTTTAGCAGTTCAAGGCAACAAGTTTCAAACAGACACCACAAGAGAAAACTGGCTCTGCACATACTGTTTGATGCATATGAATGCCAGGATGTAGCCATTTCCATTTGGAATTATTTTTAGAGAGTGGGAATGCTTCCACTTAGAAACATTACTGTCACAGTACATAATTTAATTAAGAGGACTTTTAGTCCAACTATATATAATTATAGAAAACATGAAACGCACTGGCTGCAAGAGGAAAGCAAGAGGAAAGGCGACAAGGTCAGTGTTTGCACCGTAATAGATGGCTGGCTGTTCTTTGCCCTTATACGATTACATTCACAAAGGAGCAGATCAATGTAGACTGAGAGAACGATACCTATTCGTAAAGGTTTCATTGCAAGAAAAGTTTTGAGGCCTATCCACATTTTAAGCTGGGTCCCACTCAACACCGGCCAACACGAACCTCACAGTCATTCCTTTGATGGCACAGCACTCCAAAGAAAATTCACAGACAGTGGCAGCAGATTTCCCTTGAGGTGTTATTTTAAGAAACTCCATGGTCTAAAGAATATTCCACATTCATCACCATAGCCCTGAGGGGCTGTGGTGATGTACATCCATTACGACAACAAACCTAGTCATCATCATCATCATCATCAGCCTGACTATGAAATGTGCCCATTGCAAGATAAAGGCCTGTTCCACCCATGTTTCCTTTATTTCCTTTAGATAAGGTGGAGGACAAGACTAAAAGCTCAGGAGCGTGACGAGGTCCTGACCCCGTTCACAAGTTGACAAAGCAGCAGGAATGGCAAACAATCATGCACTACAAATATGAAATAAACATATAGGTATAACATCACAAAAAAGAAATACAAAAAGTTTATGAAAACAGTGCTAAGATAAAAAGAAAGTAGTTCAAATAAGGTCATGAAGTGGCATGAACATGAAAAGCAATAATAAAAAGGAAAGAATGGGCATAAATTTTTAGAGATGTATCATTGAGGATAATGTATCAGTTGGGCAAAGTGTTTAATCTGACAGTTTTGTTTAGAGAAGGATCGAAATTTTTGCAGTTCAAAAAGTTTAACAAAGAAGGTAGTCTGTAGGATAATGATTGTTTGTCATAAAAAGTTCTTGGGGTGGGTACAGTCCAAACTTCTTTGTGCCTGGTGAGTCGAACACTTGTGTTCACGCTAAGTTTAGAAAGATTTATTGTGGTATTGGTACCATGTTTGACAAACTCTTTATAGCATAACATTAGCCTGTAATTGTACAAGAAGAAAACTGGAAGAATATCATATTTTAGAAAAAGAAGTTTTGTAGAGGACAGATAGTGTTCAGCCGCAATATGTGGTACAACCCTTTTCTGTAATAAGTGCAACTTGCGCAAATTCGTCACACCGGTTGTGCACTACACAAAGCTACAGTACTGTAACAAAGATAATACCAGTGCACTGTATATAATAATTTTCACCTTAGTGGGAAGAAGAGATCGCAATTGTGCAAGGACACCAATGGCCGATGACATCTTAGAGTATAGAATATCAACATGTACATTCCACATAAGGTGTCGTGAAAAATATACACCAAGAATACTAACAGAATCAACCATGTCTAACTGCTGAGAGCCCAGAAATAAGCTCATCTTATTTATCAAGGTTTTTTCCTTTAGGCGTATATAAAATGACTTGTGTTTTTGAAGGGTTTAGTTTTAGTAAATTCACTGAAGCCCAGGTATCTATAGCATTGTGTTAGATAGATACCTGAAGCCCAGGTATCTATAGCAGACAGTGTTTCATTGGCCATTTCTTCTATCTCTGTTTCCATGCTCCCTGTAATAAAAACTGTTGTGTCATCGGCATAAGAGACAAATGTTGCGTTGTTTGTGCAGTGTACAATGTCATTAATATAGATCAAAAATAAAAGTGGCCTTAAAATACTTCCTTGTGGCACACCTACAACGACCGGCTTCCTTGCAGATATTTCATTGTTGGCATCTACGAATTGTGTCCTGTCTGAAAAGTAGGATTTTAAAAGAGCATGCGCTGACCCATGCACACCATAATTTTCTAATTTGCTGAGAAAGATGGAATGATTGATTAGGTCAAATGCCTTAGAAAAATCGACGTATATGCCTAATGCCATTTTTTTACGACTGAATGCATCTATGATTATTTCTTTATGAGTCAAGAGGGCTGTTTCAGTAGAGCGATGCTTCCTGAATTCATGTTGAAAATCTTGAAGCAAATTGTAGTGATTAAAAATGATAACAATCTGATATGCATTAATTTTTCCATTGCTTTTGAAAACGCTGGGATTATTGAAATAGGTTGATAATTGTTAATGTTCTCTTTAGCACCATGCTTGTAAACAGGGACAACGCGTGAAATCTGCATTTGTTTTGGAAATACACCTGTAGATAATACTAAATTATAAATATTATTATTATTATTATTATTATTATTATTATTTATTATACCTCGAAAACCCCAGGGAGGGGTGTTACATGAGGGGTGGGCAGTACAGGGTTTCTTCAATGTGCGCTTTAAAAAGAATGGGGCTGGAGTGGCGCACGACGTGGGACGGAAGGTCATTTCAATCCTTCGCTGTCTGAACGAAGAATGACCGAAGGTGAGCAGTTGTACAGGCATGCGCAGGGTAAACTGGGTTGTTGTGGTTAGTGCGGGAAGATATGCGATGCGCGGGCATGATAACAGATGCGTCGGACAGTGAGTGAAAAAATTTATGAAAAAGAGCTAATCTAGCGACTTTGCGTCGCAGTTCAAGGCTGGGAAGATGGGCTTTAATCTTTAAGTTAGTGAGTGGGCTCGGCAACACGTCAAGGATGGCGGACGCTTACCTGCGACGCCTGTTTTTCGTGCAGATGGTCGCCTGGTTGTGTTTCGCACCAGCCTCCTGCACGGAGCCTCACGGTACCGACGGAGGCCTGGTCCGGCTGCACCCTCGGCCGCTACGCCCAACCGACTTGCCGCTGCCGCCCTTCACGGAAATTCACACGGATGATGCGCAATGTACCGCCAAACCGCCACCTGATCTGCCCCGCTTCGCCCCCTCCCGGATGTCACGTGCCAACCACGTCACCGATTCGACGCCGCCAATTCACCGCCAAGATAAAAGCCCGAACATCACCCATGGTCCCACCAGTGGGCTCGGCAACACGTCAAGGATGGCGGACGCTTACCTGTGACGCCTGTTTTTCGTGCAGGTAACTAACCGTTACTCCATATTCGTCAAACCAACACGGTACTATGCATTGATAGTGTTGCCGAGCCCACGGTATTGTATTGCTGCATTGTGTCAATACTGCTACTGTTTTCTAAATTTGCTACTTCTTTCCGGCGATATAGAAGAAAATCCAGGTCCTACTACACGTTCCGCTTCCAGCGAAACTCCTGGTGATATCTTGGCAGCACTCGATGAAATTAGATTAAACCAAGACAACCTTATGAAAGAAATGAAAGCCATGCAAACTACACTGTCCCAGAATGTTAAAATGTTTGACGATATTAATCAACGGCTTGCTAAAATAGAAAAAGAATGTACCGCCGTAGGCACACTTCAGGCAGACTTTGAGGTCATTCGCTCAGTTACTGTCAAAAATTCCGAACAAATATTGCAACTAACCTGCAGTCTTGACGATTCAAACGATCACGCCCGGCGAAACAATCTCATATTTTATGGACACACTGATTCGGATCGCGAAACCTGGGCCCAGTCCGAGGAACTAATCATAAATCTCTGCAAAAATACGCTCAAAGTAACGCTCAACCCACTTGATATTGACCGCGCACATCGACTGGGATCTTTCCATTCTAACAAAAATAGACCGATCATTGTGAAGTTCACGCATTTCAAAGATAAAGACCGTATTCTTTCTAACGCAAATAAGCTGAAAAATACCACGTATAGCATTTCGCAAGATTACTCGCCTAACACCCGCTTGATACACAAGCAGCTGATTGCGTTTGGCAAAGCCCAGTCCCGACCCTATAAACTTGGATACCGAAAATTAACCATCGATAAGGTCACCAACATTCTTGATCCGACTACGCAAACGGTAGTCCCACGTGCTCCGTAGCTATCTGCTAAAGTCCGTACCGAGTCTAATGTAAACCTTATTTCGCTCATCTATACTAATATTAGGAGTCTACTGCCCAAACGCGATGCCTTGCACAGCCTAATTCAAGCAAGTGACTGTAACTTAGTTCTCCTAACCGAAACGTGGCTTAATGCATCTATCTTGGACTCTGAATTGCTTCCTCTG